GGGTCGCTATGGGTCGGTTCCGACTCGATGGCACCTGACAACAACAACAACAACAACAATACTATAAATCTTTATAGAAGCACAGCCTCATCTTTCTCCAGTGGAGTGGCTGGTGTTTTTGAACCTTTAACCTTGTGTTTAGTGACCCAATGCTTAACCCACAGCACACACCAGGGCTTCTTCATGAGAAAAAGATGAGGCTTTCTGCTCCCTTAAAAATTTGTAGCCTCGGAACCCTCTATTCAGGCTAGCTATGACTCAGAATCGACTAAATGGCAGCGGGTTTGGCTTGGGGGTTTTGCAAATGTAGTGGACAAAGCCACTGAACACTTGCGCAGTAATCCCAAAATCACTGGGTTTGTAAAAGGGAAGCTAGAATTTGTTTTTCCAGCTTTAATGCCAGTTTGCTTTCTGCTGTAGTGCTGTTCAAAGGAATTGTATTTGCATATGTTTTGCTCTTAATCATCTTAAAAATTATTTGGAGTCTTATAGAATGGGACTGTGAAATGCTTACTTTAAATTGGACAAACTTGCAAAATGAATCACCCTTCATGTTATTAGAAACACAAAAGCAATGTATGGAATGCAGTGTGGTGGTTACGAGTGCTGCAGGGATTAGAATGCAGCTGTGCCACTCAGTCTCTATGTGAACTTGGGTAATCTCTCTGTACCTCCATTTCTTCATCTGTAGGGTTGTTTAACGAATTATTACATGTAATAGTTTAGAAAAGCACCTAGCCCATAGTAAGTGCTTATTAAAGGTGGTTGTTGTTAAATGCTGTTGAGTCAGTTCTGATTCAGAACAATCCTATAGGTTTTCTGAGGTTTGTAAATTTTTGCGAGAACAGAAAGCCTCATCTTTCTCCTGCTAAGCACCTGGTGGACTTGAACCACTGGCCTAGTACTTACCCAGTGCTTATCCTGCAGAGCCACAGGACTCCCCATTAAAGGTTGGTCATTATTAACTTACGTGTAATGTGACAGGAGATTTTCATGGTGAAATTCTGTGATTCCTTCTGCTTTTTCTAGCTGGCTTTTCCTACCACTGCAGATTTTGTTACTTTTCTGAGATAATCTTCCTACTTACATCTTCCTATCTAGCAGCAATTACGTTATCAACAGTTATTGAAAGATGAGATATTAGTACCTACTAGGCATTGGAAGCTGCGGACAAGAGAGAATAGCATTGGCCCTGAATCTCCTGGCAACAGGATTTTCTTCTCAGTTACATAAGTAATCTCTGTTGTGAAAAATCTGCACCAACTATTTTGGGAACCACTCTAGGTTTTTTTTTGTTGTTTTTTTTTTTTTTTTCTAAGAGCTGTACTCATTTTCACTTATGAAGGCTGTAAGTCCATTTTCTTTTCCATTACAAAGTGTAATGAAATCACTGAACGCCATCCTTAGTAGCCTTTGATTGCCATAATTCAGTGCCATTATATGGCTTTCTTAGTACATTCCTCTCTCCTAAATCACACTGCTATACTTTGAACAGATTTAACTATCAAAATGATTTTCATATAGACAGTGTTTCAGTGAGTTATAGTAAAAGCCGTAGACCCTGGCCACTCACAACATATCGGGGATTTACTTGATTTGAAAACATGAGATTATTGGTCCTATTTCTCATTTATACCTTCACTAATAGCATGAAGGATAACTAAAATTACTTGTTCCAAGGGGAAGTCATTATAGTACTTTAGCTAATGACATCCACTAAAAACTTCTGCCAAAGTGTGATGAGCTCAGGATACTGGTTCCATTAAATTACTTTCAGTTCTATAATGAGGAAAACATCCTCACAGGAATTCAGGGAATAAAAAAGAAATGTTTTAAAGGCCATGGTGTCAGCTGCTTAATTGCCTCTAAAAGTCATTTAAGAATCGAAAATCGGGTACATGTAGATTTTTGCTAAAAAGTTTTCAGGTTAAAATTAGTAGATATTCTTACATCATTTTATTCATAAGCATGAAGACACTAAGTGGAATTTTAATTTTTACAATGTAATTAAGTAATTCTATTTGTGTGCTTGAAAACATGCTTAAGTATACTTTGTACCTGATTTTTTTTTAATGTCTACATAATTTTAATTTATCTTTTTAAATTATATTTTAATATAATGCTATATTGTTGTTGCTACTAAGTGCCATTGTGGCAGTTCCAACTTGTAGCAACTACAGAGTAGTAATGGGTTCCCAAGGTGCAACTGGAGAATTTGAACTACCGACCTTGGGGTCCAGTGTGTTAGGGTACACCACCACATATTAAGAACATGTATTTTTCATCCAGTTTAATCTTGAGGAAGGACTTCTGGTGTGGCGCTGCCAGTTAATGCGGTAAACTACAAAGTCGTTTTGGTCTGTAAAGACCAGTAATTCCAGCTCACCAGCTGCTCCTCACAAACCCTGTACAGAGTGCCTATACAGGGTCACTGAGTCGGACCCCAACTCAGTGAATGACACTTAGCAACAACAACAACATCTTTAGGAAAGCGACTTGAATTGGGAATTAACAAGTCTTTAAAAAACAAAAATGTAGCCAGTTTATCAGAGAAAGCCTCCATGAAGTTTGTCTTCTTCTGCCAATACAATGCCCTTCTCTAGATTCTTGTAGAAGTTTTATTTTGTTTGCTTTTGTTGTTCTTGTTAAGTACCATCACTTGGCTCAGAGCAACCCCCTATAGGGTTTCCAAGGAGTGGTTGTGGTTCAAATTGGCTTTTCCGTCTCATGCTTATCCCAGTTCACAGCAGGTAGTTTTTAGTTTTATTATGGTAAAATATAACAAAAATGTGCATTTTAACCAATTTTAAATGTATAACTCAGTGACATGAATTACTTGTAGCAGTTGGTTTTTGGAATTGTGCAGTGAGTATGTTTTCCCATTACACGCTAACCTTTCATTGGCCTCATCTTCACCTTGGTTTTAACCACCACTTACACACCTATGTTCAGTCTCACTTTGAGTCCCACACCTCAAACTTAATTAGATTGTGTACACCTGGCGCCACAATCTGCTCGTCCTTATGTGTCTCTTGCTTTACTCACAAGCACTGCCACCTCCTGCACTCTGCAGACAGAAATGTGGGAGTCAAGGGCCTTTAATCTGTCACCGTGTGAATCACTTCAGCCCACCAATTCTTTCAGTCACTCTTGTGCCCATTTCTTTTTTTCTAGAGCTAGTACAACTGCCGTAATTCAGATAACTATATCTTACCTAGACTGTTAACAAGCTTCATGTCACCATTGTGCCCATCTGCCATGCATTTCTTTTTCCAGTCTCTCAACCTGAGCTGGGATTCCAAAGATGATGATAAGATAGTAATCACAACAAAATTGATAACTGCCACTTTTCTGCCTTAAGTTTTCTTAGTCCAGTTTCCCAGAGAATGAAAAACTGAGATAGGTTCAATAATTTGCTCAGAATACATGGATGGGGGCAAGTGGTTAAGCCAGGATTCAAATCCAGGTTTTTCCCTTCCCAGAATCCATGATGAGATTTATTTGAAATTCATCAGCATGATAGACAGAAACTTTAGTGACTTCCTGTAGTTTTACCAAACAACATATAGCTCCTGGGTCACCTGCTATTCTCTGAAATGTAACTACTTATTTATTTGTTGGTTCCTGAAGAGCAGCACGTCCACCCTCTCTGACCGCAGGGCTCAGTGCATCAGTGTACGTACAGTAACTGTCTTAACCCTTTGGAAGTAGAGGTCATACCATCTATTGCATTTGTGTCCTTTGCAATCATTAAATGACTGGTAACTTCACTGTTTCTTGATAAGGTGGGTTTGGGGGTTGTTGTTGTTGTTTTGCCTATCTGTTTTGTTACATCCTTGTAAAAAATTAGCTAAGAATGAAAACCTGAAAAAAAGTCTTCTGAGAAATGAGTTGTTGGTTTTCAGTGTATTTTTGGGAGCACAGTGGCTCTGTAGGATAAGCACCAGACTTTGAGCCACAAAGTCAGCAGTTCAAGCCCACTGGCCGTTCTTCAGCTTCAGAAACCCTCCACAGGGTTACTGTGAGTTGGAACCAATTTGACGGCACTTAATACTAACAATATGTATTTTTACCAACATATAAGCATGTTTTGAACAAAACTTTTAGAAATTATATTTTTCTAGGGAACCAAAATACCTGCTGATCAAAGAAATTGTCTTAATAATTTTAAAGAAATGCAGGTATGCTGATAGTTATAGATTTGAGTACTATGTAGTTGTTGTTGAGTGCCATCGAGTTGGTTCCAACCCATAGCAACTCCGTATAGGGTTTCCAAGGAGCCACTGGTGAGCTTGAACGGCCAAACTTGCACTTCAAACGACTTTGCAGTCTGGCACATTAACCCACAGCGCTACACCAGGACTTCTTTGAGTACTGTAGCACGTTGCTTATTTCATCATTTACTATTTAGTGTTCTTCCATCATATATAAGGAGCTGTGGTACTGTAGTTGTTACAAATTGGGCTGCTAACCTCAAGATCAGTAGTTCGAAACTACCAGTTGTTCCGTGCGAGAAAGATGAGGCATTCTGCTCCCATAAAGATTTACAGCCTTGGAAACCCTGTTGTAGCGCTGTGGGTTAATGCACCAGACTGCAAAGCCGTTTGAACTGCAAGGTCGGCAGTTCAAGCTCACCAGCTGCTCCTTGGAAACCCTATACAGGGTTGCTATGGGTCAGAACCGACTCAACAAAGGATCTCTCAATAGTTTACTAAAATGTCATTTTTACATGTTTTAATGTGTTGTTTTTCTTTTTCCTTCAGGTTGGTGCACACTTTCTGGAGACCGTGGTGAGGAAGTTTGATGAAGTATATAGAAATAGAAGTGGCGGGAAGGAATGTGATAATCTTTTCTCCATTCTTGCCCATTTATATAACTTCCATGTGGTACAGTCCCTTCTCATCTTTGATATTTTGAAAAAACTTATCGGAACTTTCACAGAAAAAGATATCGAGTTGATCCTGCTAATGCTGAAAAATGTGGGCTTTTCCCTGAGAAAAGATGATGCTTTATCACTTAAGGAACTGATCATGGAAGCCCAGAAGAAAGCCAGTGGAGCAGGAAGCAATTTTCAGGACCAGACCAGGGTATGGTTACATCACTTGCTGTGCTTCACAAATGCCTAAGTGTGCACAAACTGACCAGAATTTAACATAAGTATTTGGGGTAAATACTGCATTTAATTTCCTCATGATCTTGGTTTTCTGCTGTTTTATCTTGTTTTATAGCTTTATCATTAATCTGTGAAAGAACCTTGATTCTTTACTAAGAACGCAAATATTTTATGAATTTAACATCCATTCAAAAAAAGCTTCCTGAGGTAGGCCTTATACATGGGGAGCACGTGTCACAAGCCTGGGTAGGACTTCTGGCCCTGCCAGGTGACAGCAGCATGACCTAAGTCTGCCAGGCAAGTTTCCTCACCTTTAAAATGAGGGGCTGGTGATACTTTCCACCTCATTTTGTTATTGAGAGGTGTGGAACTGCACATGAGAAAGAATGTAGCTTGTTTGAGAAACAACAAAAAAAGATTATATGAGGGATCAGGAAAACCAGGCCAGAGGCTTAAAGAGAGTTCTCATTTTAGAGTCCTCTTAACATTGCAAGGACTTGGGGTTTCATCCTAGAGGCATGTGAAGGATTTTAAACAGACAGATGATGCCTTCCCATTTTTTTTTCTTTTCATTTTAATGGATACTTGAGTTACGAAGCAGTAAGGAGATTGGAGGTAGTCAGGGTTGGACAATGTTATCGCAGGACTCCTGGTGTGGTGCTGTAGGATCAACACTGGACTTCAAACCACTGGGTCGGCAGTTCAAACCCACCAGCAGTTCCTCAGAAGCCCTCAAAAACACTCTACAGACTTGCTATGAGTTGGAACGGACTTAACAGTACTTAACAACAACAGCAACATTGTAGGAATCCATGGGAAAGACCACTGGCTTCCATATGCATAGTTGCTGTGAATTGAGTTGATGTAGGGGGAAGGAGGAGTCAAGATCACCCCCAGTTCTCTAGCTTGAGCAGGCAGGTGAATGGTGGTACCCTCTATGTGGATAGCAAATGCTGGAGCAGCATATTTGAAGTTCTTGGGATACGTATCGAAATGAGAGTCATCATCAAAATGTTGATGCCTTAGAGGCCCTTACAGTTACCTGGCATATACAGTTACCTAGCATTCAGCAAGAAATGAGGAGACACTTAATATTAAAGAGCTCTAACATCCAACTGCATAGAGGAGGAGGAATAACTGGAAAATGAGAAGAAAACAGCAAAGTCACAGAAGTCAGGGGTCAAGAGTTTTTCTAGAAGAATTTATTCTCTGTTGAATTTTAAGAGGTCAAGTAGGATAAGGACGAAACTTTTCATTGTTAAGTTGTAATAGAGGTCATCGAGCCCTAGTGTGGTGCTATAGAATAAGCACTGGACTAGCAACCACAAAGTCAGCAGTTCAAACCACCAGCCACTCTTGGAAACCCTACACAGAGTTACTATGAGTCGGAACCAACTCAATGATACACATCAGCAACCACAACAGTGGCCATTATTGACAGTTGTATTTAAGTACTAGCTAAGTTTTTAAGGACTCCTGATGTGGTGCTGTAGGATAAACTCTGGGTTGTGAACCAAAATATCGCAGTTCAAACCCACCAACAGATGCTAGGAAACCCTACACAGGGTCACTATGAGTTGGAATCGACTCAATGGCACTTAACACGTTTTCGAAGAAGAGAAGAAAGTATTGAGGGAATGGAGAAATGGAATGGTAGAATGAAAGGAGCTGTTTTTAAGATGAGTCATATGTTTATAATGACTTAAAAATAAAAATGTGTATGGAAACAGAAAGTGATCATTCAACCCCACACAGCAGCTGTTTGAGACAAAGACCTGGCAATCCGTTACTGTGAAGATTACTGTCCAGAAAACCCTATGGGACAGTTCTCCTCTGTCAAATGGGGTTGCTGCAAGTCAACAACCACGACAGAACTGGAAGAGTTGGAATGGGGGAAATGGGCATTACTGAGCAGTGATAACACTCCAAAATTAATTGTGGTGATGGTTACTTAATTCTAGTATGTTAGTACATATCATTACTATAACAGGCAAGTAAAATTTTGCTAATGATAATTCAAAAACGCTGCAGTAGAACATTGACAGGGAACTGCCAGAGTTTCAAGCCAGATTCAGACAAGGACGTGAAACAAAGGATATCATTGCTGACATCAGAAAGCAGAGAATACCAGAAAGATGTTTACCTGTGCTTTATTGACTGCAAAGGCTTTCAATTATATGTATCATGACAAGCTGTGGACAGCACTGCAGAGACTGAGTATTCCAGAACACTTAACTGTGCTCATGAGGAACCTGTATATAGACTAAGACGCAGTTGTTCGAACAGAACAAGGGAACACTGAATGGTTTAAAATTAGAAATGGCATACACCAGGGTTATAGTCTTACACCATACTTTTCAATCTGTATGCTGAGCAAATAATCCGAGAAACTGGATTATAATGAAGAAAAACATGGCATCAGGGTTGGAGGAAGACTCATTAACAAGCTGTGATATGCAGATGATACAGCCTTGCTTGCTGGAAATGTTGTAGAGGACTTAAAAAACTGATGAAGATTAAGGACTACAGTCTTCAGTATGGGTTGCACCTTAATGTAAATAAAACAAAAGTCCTCACCACTGGACCAATAAATAACATCAAGATAAATAGAGCAAAGATTGAAGTTGTCAAAGGCTTCATTTTGCTCGGATCGACCATCAACACTCATGGAAACAGCAGTCAAGAAATCAAAAGATATATTGCATTAGGCAAACCTGATGTACAAGACCTCTTTAAAGTATTCAAGAGCAAACATGTCAGCTTGAGGAGTAAGAGGTATGTGACCCAAGCCATGGTATTTTCAATAACCTCATACGCATGTGAAAGTTGGACAGTGAATAAAGAAGACTGTAGAAGAATTGATACATTTGAGTTATGGCATAAGAAAAGAATATTGAAAGTACCATAGACTGCCAGAAGAACAAACAAATCTGGATTGGAAGAAGTACAACCAGAATGCTCATTAGAAGCAAGAATGGCCAGGCGTCACCTCTCATACTTCAGACATTATCAGAAGGGACCAATCCCCAGAGAAGGGCATCATGCTTGATAAAGTGGAGTGTCAGCGAGGAAGAGGAAGACCCCCAATGAGATGTAGTGGCACAGTGGCAGCAGCAGTGGGCTCAAGCATAGCAATGATTGTGAGGTTGGTTTAGGAACGGGCAGTGTTTCGTTCTATTATGTACAGGGTCACTATGAATCAGTACCAACTGGATGGCATCTAACAGCAATAACAGTGTATTACATAATTCTGTGATAGACTAAAAAGGCCAGTGGTAGGGAAGAGGTTGAAAGTGTAGGGGAGAAGAGGGAATAACTAATAGAAAAAGATAACTGAGAGACAAAGGATTGGACCCTGACCATAGGGAAGGAGTGCAAGTTATCATTTAGTGATTACTATTTATAGCCCTGAACAAAATGTTAATGAATACTATCCTATAGCCATGAACAAAATGTTAAAATTAAATACAAGCTAGATGCTTTTGAGTTGTGGTGTTGGAAGAGAATATTGAAAGTGCCATGGGCTGCCAAAAGAACCAGTAGATCCGCAAGATGGCCAAACTTCATCTCTCATACTTAGGACATATTGTCAGGACAGACCAGTCACTGGAGAAGGAGATCATGTTTGGTAAGGTGGAGGGTGAGAGAAAAAGAAGAAGATCCCCAATAAGATGGATTGGCCAAGTGGCAGCATCGATGGACTCAGGCGTGGCAACAGTAGTGAGTTTGGCCCAGGATCAGGCAGTGTTTTGTTCTGCTGTGAATAGGGTCACTGTGATTCAGTGTCGATTTGATGGCACCTAACAACAACATCTTTACTAAAAGGAGCACTGGTGGACAGTGGTTAAGCATTCAGCTGCTAACAGAGGTCAGCAGATTACACCTGCCAGCTGCTCCGTGGCAGTCTGTGGAAAACCAGCCTGGCGATCTGCTTCTCTAAAAATTGTTGTTCTTATTAGGTGCTGTTGAGTTAGTTGTGACTCACAGTGACAGTAGAAGGAAACATTGTCTGGTCCTGCGTTGTCCTCATAGCCCTTTTGTTTGGGCCCATTGTTGCAGCTACTGTGTCAGTCCATCTCATTGAAGGTCCTCGTCTTTTTAGCTGGCCCTCTATTTTATTCTCCAGGGACTGGTCTCTCCTGCTAACATCCCAAAGTATGTGAGATAAAGTCTTCGCTTCTAAGGAGCATTCCAACTGTATTCTAAGACAGATTGTTCATGCTTCTGGCGGTCCGTGGTATATTCAATATTCTTCATGAACACCATGATTCAAATGAATCAATTCTACAGCAGTCTTTTTATTCACTGTGCAGCTCTTACATGCATATGAGATGATTGAAAACACCATGACTTTGGTGTTTACTTTTAAATATTTTAAAGAGGTCTTTTGCAGCAGATTTGCCTAATACAATATGTTTGAATTTTTGACTGCTGGCCCGTGGGCTGTGATTGAGGATTCAAGTAAAATGGGATCCATGGCAGTTTATTTTTTGTGATGTTGCTCTTATCTGTCCCATTGTGAGGATTTTTATTTTCTTTACATTGTAGTGTAATCCATACTGAAGGCCATGTGTTTGATCTTTTATCAGTACGTACTTCAAGTTCTCTTGGCTTTCAGCAAGCAAGGTTATGTCGTCTGCATACCGCAGGTTGTCAGTGAGTCTGCTTCCAGTTAATCATGCCACATTGTTCATATAGTCCAGCTAATTGGATGATTTGCTTAGCATGCAGATTGAATAAGTATGGTGAAAGGATACAATCTGGGTATACACCTTTCCTGATTTTAAATCATGCAGCATCTCCTTGGTCTGTTCAGATGACATCCTCTTGGTCTATGTGTAGGTTCTGCATGAGCCCAAGTTAAGTGTTCTGTATTTCCCATTCTTTGCAATGTTAGCCATAATTTGTTATGATCCACACAGTTGAATGCCTTTGTATGGTCAATCAAGAACATGTGAACATCAGCTCTCTGGTATTCTCTGGTTTCAGCTTAGATCCATCTGACATCAACAGGGATATCCCTTATTATACCTTCTGTTCTGAATTTGGCCTTGATTTCTGACAGCTCCCTATCAATGTACTACAGCAATTGTTTTTGAATTATCTTCAGCAAAATTTTGCTTACATGAGATATTGATGATTTTGTTTAATAATTTGCACATTCTGTTGATCACCTGTCTTTGGAATGGGCCCAAATATGGATCTCTTCCAGTGGTTCATAAAGTAGCTGTCTTCCAAATTTCTTGACACAGAGGAGAGCATGCTTCCAGTATTGCATCTGTTTGTTGAAACATAGCAATGGTTTTTCCTCCAGTTCCCAAAACTTTGGTTTTACCAGTGTCTTCAGTACAACGTGGACTTCTTCCTTCAGTACCATCTCTTCTTGATCCTATGCTACCTCTTGACATATATTCTGCCCATTTTTTGATGCTTGCTGTGTCATTCGGTTTTTGCCCATGGAATCTCCTTCAGTATTACAACTGGAGATTTGAATGTTTTCTTCAGTTCTTTCAGAATGAGAAATGCCAAGCCTGTTCATTCCTTTTGGTTCCCAAACTCAAGGACTTTGCACATTTCATTATAAAGGTTTACTTTGTCTTCTAAAGTAATAAAAATGTATTCAGTTCTTTTTACTTCATCATTTCTTCAATCTGCTTTTGCTGCTTTGCATTCAAGAGCAAGTTTCAAAGTCTCTTCTCACATCCATTTTAGTCTTGTCTTTCTTGTCTGTCCTTTTATTGACCTTTTGCTTTCTTCATGGATGATGTCCTTGATGTCATACTAGAAATTGTTTAATCATGATCAGTAGTGTTTATTGTGTCAAATCTATTCTTGAGATGGCCTCTAAATTCAGGTGGGATATACGCAAACTCATACTTTAGTTCTTGTGGACTTCTAAATTTTTCTTCAACTTGAACATATATAGGAGCAATTAATGGTCTATTCCACAGTTGGCCACTGGCTTTGTTATGATCGATGATACGGAGCTTCTCCATCATCTCTTTCTGTAGATGTAATCGATTTGATTGTTCCATCCAGCAAGAATGTAGACACTGTTTATGTTATTGAAAAGTATTTGCTTGGTCTTGTGAAATTCTTTCATGGGATCTCTGGTGGCATCTTTATCACCAACTACCTACTCATCCTCCTTTGTTGCCAGCTTTTGCATGCTGGTCACCACTAATTGTCAGTGTTTTCAGTTACATGTTTGATCAATCTCAAACTGCAGAAATTGACTAAAATCTTTAATTTCTTCATCTTTGGAATTAGTGATTGGTACATACATTTGAATAGTCATATTAACTAGTCTTCCTTGTAGGAATATGGGTAGTATCCTGTCACTAAAAGCATTATACTTTAGGTTAGATGCTTCTTTTTGACATAAAAAGTGATGTTATTGTCTCTTCAGTTTGTCATTCCTAGCATAGTAGATCATGTGATCGTCTGATTCAGAATGGCCAATGACAGTCCATTTCAACTCACTAATGCCTAGGATTTCAATCTTTGTGTGTAGATCCATTTCATTTTTGATTATTTTCAATTTGCCTAGACTCCCACGTCATTCCACATTCTGATTATTAATAGATATTTGCAGCTGTTTCTTTTCATTTTGAGCACACCACATCACATAACGATGGTTCTAAAAGTGTTGCTCCATCCACATCATTAAGTTTGACTCAATTTTGAGGAGGCAGCTTTCCACTGTTGTAGTTTGAGTGCTTTCAAGCCTGAGGAGCACATCTTCCTGCACTGTATAAGACAATGTTCCACTGCTATCATAAGGCTTTCACTGACCAGTTTTTGTTTATTTGTTTGTTTTTGAAGTAGATCATCAGGTTCCTCCTAATCTTCTTAGTCTGTAAGTTCTTCTGAAACCTGTCGACGACCATGGGTAACCATGCTAATATTTGAAATACTGATAGCATAGCTTCCAACATCACATCAGCACCGAAACCTCTACTGCACAAGGAACTGACAGACCAGTAAAGATTTCAGCCTAGGAAACCCTGTGGGGCAGTTATGCTCTGTCCTGGGAGGTCACTATGAGTCAGACTCAACCTGGTAGAACACAACATCATCCTTACCTAAAGACCACCTTAAATTGTTTATGTTGAGCAGTGATGACCATGCATATGAGGTTTGATATATTTCTTACCAACTTGAATAATCAGTTATTTAAATATTTGAAATAATTGGTTTTCTTTTTTCTTTTTTAAGATTCGGTTCATGTTAGAGACCATGTTGGCCCTGAAGAATAATGATATGCGTAAAATTCCAGGCTATGACCCTGAACCTGTAGAGAAACTGAGGAAGTTACAAAGAGCTTTGGTAAACAGCTTTTAATTCTGATTTGGGGGGAGGCTTCCATGTCAACATGAATCTGTAATCCAAAAAGAAGTGATTAGGATCTAAAAGCCAGTTGTCTTTTGATGTCTGTTAATAAGAGTTTTAAAGATATCAAACTGAAACTTGTTTCTATCTTGAGACCTTTTGAATAGTCCCAGTCCTTTTTGTGTGGGATGCCTTGTCTCTGGTGGGAAGAGTTCCTGTTGATTGAGCAGCCTGTGCATTAACCCAGTGGTGGCGAACTCTTGCTGTGTAATAGAATCACCTGTTAGCTTTTTTAAACTATCAATACCAGGGCCATGACTCAGACCCATTAAATCAGAATCTTGAGGAGTGTGGGTATCACTTTTCTTTTAAGCTCCTTGTGTATTTTCTAATGTGCAGTCAGAAATAAGACCCACTGATCTCACCAGGTGGGTTAAGTTGTTCAGGCCCAGCCTTAAGCTGGGCAATACCAAGCTCCACCCCTGCCAGCCTGACAGAATTCACACTGTTTTAAATTCCCTGAGTCTGAAGCAACTGGTGTCACTTTCTCTGGTATAACAACTCTCTAAAGAAAACGTCATTTGGGGCTATAGAACCAGGTGTGTGTTCTCAAACAACTTCAAACACAAAGTAGTGTAAGTCTTCTACTTTTGGCATTAATCCAAACAGAACTGAACTGTCACAATTGTCAGTGATATTTTTCTTTGTCAGAAATGGCCAGGCACCAGAAATGTCATTGCTAGAAACTTAAGGATGATGGTAGTATAAAATAAGAACAAATTACAAGCATTTTCACAAGATCCTTTTTCTTCTAATCAGGTGCGCAACACGGGTTCAAGTACAGAAACTCGGCTTCGAGTCTCCTGGGAGAGTGTTTTGAATGCAGAGCAGGTTGGTCGCTGGTGGATTATAGGGTCTTCATGGAGCGGAGCCCCAATGATTGAGAGCAGTGATGATAAGATCCAGCAGAAACAGCTCATAGGGACGGTAAGGTGATTCGTGATGTTCCTATTTCTCTGCCCCTCATACTATAGTGTTTTACCTAGTGTAGCTACTTTAATATTTGTGGGACGATTATTGAAATGTGCTGACAGGTGTATTTGAAGACCTGGCAGAAATTGCTGTTTTGCTGTTTTTGTTTGTTTGTTTGGTTGGTTGGTTGGTTGTTTTCAAGATGAATTAGATAAGGGGAGCAGATGATCATCATTATGCAGATACCAGTTCATGAAATTTTCCAGAAGACAAGCTTCCATTCCATTTGCCTTGGATTTCAGATTGTTAAAAATCTTTGCCCTTCTTTGTATTTTATTATTAATAGTTAAAGACCATACTTCATCCACATTCCCTTAGTTTTTACCTATGTCCTTTTTCTGTCAGATCCCACCCCGAGTATCATACTGCATTTAGTTATCATGTTTTTTAGGCTCCTCTGGCGAGGCCCACTTATTTGTATTTTATTTCACTGTTGCTTATAACTGACTCAGATCATACCACTAGTGAGAAAAGTTTCCTGAATCAAGTATTCTTACCAGTGGCCTTTTCTCCTGCTGTTTTCCCTCTAGGGTTTGCCCAAGAATAAAGATTCAGTGTTAATTTAGTTATATTAAGTCAAGTCTGCACTAAAAGTATACAAATTATTTTTTAGAAACTTAATTTTAGAAGCTACTTACTAAACCAAAGTGTGACAGTATTTCTCAAGCAGCATTAAAACATGAGGCTTCCTTTGCAATACCTAAACTCTCTTGGTTTTCGTAGCATGCTTTGAAAAAAAAAGGTTCAACCAAAACAGTCAGTGACTTTTGAGAAGGATGGGTTGGACTGGTTAAATTCAAGGCAAAGAGGTAATACAATCTAATACAAAAAAATCTAATATAAACAGTCTTTGTATTAGATTTTTTTTCAAAGGACACACAGCAATTATTAGGATGAAGTTTTCAGAACATTGAAAATTGCTTTGGTAAGAAAAACGCCCGGAAAGTTGCACTAATTTTTTCCATCACAGTGCACCTGCTCTTTCATTGAGGGCAGCAAGGGCTATCCTAGGAGAGTTTTACTGGGATACTTTACCTTATTCACCCTACAGTCCTGATCTTGCCCCTTCAGACTTTTGTTCGCAAACTAACAGAGCATTTAAAAGGAACATGGTTTGAGTCCCTTGGGGATGCCAAAACTGCCATTTTAACATGATGTATATCAAAGAGTACAGCATTTTGGGAGAAGGGTTAGAAAGCTGGAAAGAGCACCTTCAGAAGTGTATGAACCTAGATGGAGAATCTGTCAGGAAATAATAGCTTCACATTTTGATATTTTTGTTTAATAAAGGTTTCTTTGATTTTGTAGTAGTACTTTTAAACTCACCCTTGTATGTATGATGTATGTCTTAATCTTTCCTCTTTTCAGGTTAGTTCAAAGATGTTGGACCTTGCTCGCAAGCAGAGAATGAACACTGACATCCGGAGAAACATATTCTGTACAATAATGACCAGTGAAGACTTTCTGGATGCATTTGAAAAGCTTTTGAAGTAAGCATGTTGTGTGAACTTTTTAGCCTGTTACTTAATTGGAGTCCTTGTGTGGCACTGTACGATAAGTCCTGAACTGCTGACTACAAGGTCAGCAGTTAAAACCCACCCGTCAAAACCCAGCAGTTCAGAACCTCATACAGAGCTGTTAGGAGTTGGAGCCAACTTGAGAGCACTTAACAACTTAATTAAGTTCATTTGATTTTTTTAAAAAATATTTTAGATGATTACATTCAGTGTCAGGTGCAACTTTAGAATAATTATAGACCTCACCTCTTACCCTCCTATCTCACTCTATTTTAATTCATGCATTCCCTAATGGTTAACAAACCTGTTCCTTCTAATTTGCCACTAGTATGGCACTATGGAAAGGAGCTCTGGTAGTATAGTGGTTACGAGTCAGGCTGCCAACCTCAAGATCAGCAGTTCGGAACTACCAGCAGTTCCATGGGAGAAAGATGAGGCATTCTGCTCCCGTAAAGATTTACAGCCTCAGAAACCCTGTGCAGGGTCACTATGAGTCGGAACCGACTCCACCATACTTAACAACAACAACATGGCACTATGGAAGGAGCTCTGGTAGCGTAGTGGTTACGAATCGGGCTGCGAACCACAAGGTCAGCAGTTCGAAACTACCAGCTGTTCTGCAGGAGAAAGATGAGGTGTTCTGCTCTTATAAAGATTTACAGCCTCGGAAACCCTGTACAGGATCTCCAGGAGTTGGAACCGACTCTGGCACATAACAACAACAACATGGCATTATGGAGTCCTAGTGTGGTGCTGTGGGTTAATGCGCCAGACTGCAAAACCATTTGAACTGCAATGTCGGCAGTTCAAGCTCACCAGCTGTTCCTCGAAAACCCTATACAGGGGTCGCTATGGGTTGGAACCAACTTGACGGCGCTTAACAACAACAATAACATGGCACTGTGGTTAAGCATTGGGCTGCTAACTGAAAAGCCAGTGGTTTGACCCCATCAGTAGCTCGGCTGAGAAGGATGAGGCTGTGTGCACCTGGAAAGCCCCAGACCCCGTGCAGCAGGTCTGAATCCAGGTCAGCTCCGTGGCTGTGGGGTTGGTGTTTGTTTTGTTTCTAATTAGAACATTTTGTGATATAGGATTTGAGGATTTAGATCAAAATTATTATCTGGCCAATCGATAATGTGTAGTTGCTATTGGTTGTCATGAATTATTTAAAAATATATCTTAATATTTCTAATTACTTCTCAATTAAAAACTGTTTAGTATAATTTTTATAGTTATTTATAATAAAATGTTTCAAATGCCTATAGAGTCTAGAAGAATTACTTCTAAACAATTAAATATATTGTTAATTCACCTTTATTTTCTTTTAAAAACTTAGAATGAAATGCAGAAAAAAACAAAAACATGGTTAATTTTAGGATTCTGATAAGAGGGGTTTTACAAGGGGGCTTTAAAAATTTGTAAAAAATACCATTATCTTTTACTTCCATTTTTGCATGACTTGTTGAGCTTGATACAGTAAGCACTAGACTGCTAACCACAAGGTTCACTGTTAGAGCCTGCCAGTCACTCCACAGGAGAAAGATGAGACTTTCTGATCCTTTGAAGATTTAAAGCTTGGAAACCCTATACAAGGTCACTAGGAGTTGCAACCAACTCCCCAGCAGTTAATAACAATACCAACATGGGTACCTTGCATTGTTGAAGTGTAAAACATACGCTTTCTTTACCTCTCTAAACCTCACTTTTATACTTTTATTTAGCATATCTTTATGTTTCTTAATTAAGGAGTCCTGGTGGTGGTGTGGGTTGGTTAGGCATTAATCAGCTAACCTGAAGGTTGGCAGTTCAAACCCACCAACCACTTTGAGAGAAAAATGTGACTCTCTGCTCTCATAAAAATTTACAGCCTTGGAAACCTTATTTGGAATCATTAGGAGTCAAAATGGACCTGATTTGGTTTGAGTTTTGGTTATGTTCCCTAATTATACTTTGTTTCTGAAAGGGGACTTCATGTGAAGAGGTCTTATGTCCTCTACTCTGAGGCTCTTAGTTCATCTTTAATTATACGTAAAGGATTGCTTTTACTATTTTTCTCCCAGTTGAGTTCATTTTTATTTATCAGAAATACATAACTGCTAATCTGAACTTTTAGACTTCTGGTGTGGCACTGTAGGATAATAAGCAGTAAACTGCTAACTGCAAGTTAGGTAGTTCAAACCTACCAGCCATTGCTCGGTAACCCTTTACAGGGACGCTATGAGTCGTAACCAACTTGATCGCATTTAATAACAACAACAGTCTGAACGGTCACCATGAACTGATACTAATCCAACCGAAATAAATTGGTTGTTATAGTTGCCTAGATAGCCATAGCTCATGTCATGTATGATTTTAGTTCATTTTGTTTTGTTAGTGGGCATTTAAAAAAATAATAGTTTTTGGCAATAGCTAATGTTTCTTTCCTCTTTAGAATTAAAAATCTCTGCCTTTGTTTAGAGGCAGCAGTTGCAACAATATTCAGATTTATTTACTTCAAAACTGTACTTCAAAAGTCATTTGTAATGACAAATAATTGAGAGCACGTCAAACTAGGGAAAGGAGAAACTGTACATTCGTACAGTGGGATACTAGGCTTAAAAAGGAACAAATTATTGATATCTGCAGCAACATGGGAGAATCTCAGATTATGCCCAAGTGAAAGAAGCCAGACTCAAATAGATGTATAATTGGTGGTTCTGTGTATATGATATTCTTGCGAAAGCAAGACTGTAAGGACAGAAGTATCAGTGGTTGCCAGGGGGTTGAGGGAAGGAAGGGTTGACTATAAAGGAGCACTGGGGATTTTGGGAAGTGATAGAACTTTCTATATTTTAATTGTAGTGTTTATAAGACTATATGTAAAAACACAGAACAGTTCACTAAAAATGATGAATTTTGCTGTATGTAAGGTTTTCTTATGGAGAAATACAGTCATTGCTATCACAAGAACCTGACTTTTAAGAGCACACAGATTTGAGTGTTAACACTGTTGTCTGTCAGTCTGACACTAATTATAGACTTGTAACTGGAATAGAACCCATAAATCATGTTGACCCATCCCTCCCACATTTAGAAACTTTGAAGCTCAGAGAAGTTAGGGACACGGCTGGGTCTAGCTCGTGTATCTTGATATCCTCACCTCCTCTACCTAGTTCTCATTTAACCAAACTGTGCCAATCAGGAATGTCTCTTTGAAAGATTTCTGCCTTAGGGCTATTATAACTGGGAAGCTGAATGAATTTTTAGTTACTGCTATTACTGTTTTATAGGCTTGGACTTAAGGATCAGCAAGAGAGAGAAATAGTTCATGTTCTCATGGATTGCTGCCTTCAAGAGAAAACATATAATCCCTTTTATGCGTTGTTGGCTAGCAAGTTTTGTGACTATGAAAGAAGATTTCAGGTAAATTACTTAGTAAGAAGCCCACCGGTTATGTGTACTCGATATTTTTTCTAATCATTTTATTTAGCTTGTCTGGCTCTATAGTTAGTTCCCTGAGTCAGGTGGGACAAAAATCACGTGGTTCTGTTGTCTGCCGGCTGTCTTCCATGGGGATGGTTGGTGGGTGCCATCAGCATAAAGTGATAGGACTGACTGGCTGTGCTTCCATGCCAGCTGTGCAGTTTCTCATTGTCGCAGTGAAGTTGAAGCTTCATAGCCAAGTAGTTTGAGTTCCTTTTCTAGTTGTATACTGTACTGTTTGCTTCTAATGTAATGCTATCCACGAATGCCTTTAAAGCATTATTTTTAGTGTGTGCTGGTTTGAGGAAAACAGCTGCAACAGAAAGTATTGTGAGACTGTTAAACCAGCTACTAACTGTGGGAAAGGGAAATGCAGTTGCTTCTAAAAGGCTGATCTTTAGAATATTAAATAAAGCTAATTTATGTATTATGCATTTCATAAGAAATTGAATACCTGTAGATTATATTCCTAGTAATATATTCTAATTATTTGTTATGTTTTAACTTTTTTTCTTCTTTTTGTTAGATGACTTTCCAGTTTACCATATGGGACAAATTTCGGGATTTAGAAAATTTACCAGCTACTAATTTCTCTAATTTACTTCATTTTGTGGCCCATTTGTTGAAGACAAAATCACTTCCATTATCCATTTTAAAGGTTTGTATGATATATAGGATTATTAAAAACGACAGTGTAAATGCCTGTATTTGTACTTTTTTCTAAAAGCTGCATTTCCTTAGAGTCTGATTTTCCTGTATTTTTCATTATCATAGGGATCATAGAAAATAACCCAATTAGCATAAAGTATAAATTTACCTAGCAAATTAGGATAGATTTACAGATTTTTTGGGTTAATTTTAAGTAAATGTTTCCATTTCAGGGTTTGAGGTGAACATGCCTGTCCTTATTATAAAATCATGAAATGATTACTACAAGAATAAGAGAAAGAGTAAAGAAGGAGTTGGTCACCTTGAAGAGGTGTGGTGCCAAGTCTAATTTTTTTCTCATTTTGATACATTTTAAATCAACAGGAGACCCCCTAACCTTACACCATCATATTTTAGAACTTCCATATCACCCAGGAGCCAATGAAATATAGATGTTGTTGTTAAGCACCGTCCAGTCGGTTCCGACTCATAGTGACCCTGCACAGGGTTTCCGAGGCTGTAAATCTTTATGGGAGCAGAACACCTCATCTTTCTCCCACGGAAACGCTGGTAGTTTCCAACTGCCGACCTTCAGGTTAGCAGCCCAATTCATAACCACTACACTACCAGAACTCCTTACAGCGTGTTTAAATGTACAGTGTAATTTAGACATAGTACATTGAATTTTAAGTGGCCTGATAGGCTTATGTGATTAGAAGCACTGGGATGTGGGTGTCCTCAAAACTAGCTGTACTGTTAGAGAACTGGAGGATCAAAGGGAGCCGAAAAACAGAGCTGATTCAGTGGAATTGGCCTTCTGTCCTCCACCTGTGCCTTCACCTTCCTGATCTGCAGGTCAGACTAGAACCACAGCTTCATATGGTGGTGTTTTTGTTAAGTGCCATCAAGTCGGTTCTGACTCATAGCCACCTTTATAGGGTTTCTGAAGAGCAGCTAATGAGCTTGAGCCACTAACCTTGAGATTCAAACCAACCTTGCAGTCCAGCTCATTAACCCACAGCATCATACCAGGACTTCACAGCTTCATATAGTTAGAGGGTTTTTTAAGTCCTTATATGCCACTTGTCAGACAGAACATATACTCAGAATTCCCATATATTTCTTTTAGTGTGTGATGTTGAATTTTGGCCACTGTACTTAGTATTAATCTGAAAAGTAGACAAATTTAAGATCTCATTAAGAAAGCATTATAGAAATATGTAAAGTACATTCTCTTGTTGAACTAAATCTTACCTTCATTCACTCAAAGATTGAGTTGAGTATGGAATAATATATGAGAGTTCACTCAACAACAAGAATTCCTGCTTGGTATTACCTGCCTAGAACTTTCAAGTATATAAAATTAAAGATGCAGTTGAAGCTCACCTTGGGTTAATATAGCTTTTATGCAGATTATATTACACTGCCACATACTCTTTGTATCCTTCTGTTAGTTTATAGTTTATTCTTATTGATAAATGTAATTATATTCCTTGCTTTTGAAATTCTGGTGTGGTAGGATAAGCATTGAACTACTAACCACAAGGCTGGCAGTTCAAATATACCAGCTGCTCCTTGGAAACTGTATACCAGGTCATTGTGAGTTGGCACGAGCTCAGTGGCACTTAACAACAACATTCTTTGTTTTTATAACTGCTGTATGTTGTTGTTAAGTGCCGTTGAGTCGATTTCCAACTCATCACAACCCTGTATAGGATGTCCACAGAGCAACTGATGAATTTGAACCACTGACCTTGTGGTTCAAACCAGTCTTAGTGTCCAGTGCTTTATCCCATAGCGACATACCAGGATTCCAACTGCTGTATTCTACTATTTAACTATATTACAATTTATATATTCATTGTTTTATCCAATTTATAAATGTTTAGATTATTTCTAAATTTTTTAAATCATTTTTTATCAGTAATATATGACTTTTAATTAGGGAGTAGTCTTTAGGGGATGAAGTTAATTATGTTTCTATTCTAGAAATTCTATGTTTACCCCCATAAATTTAACACTGCTAGGAGCTCTTCAAAAGGAGCTCTGGTAGCGTAATGGTTACGAATCGGGCTGCGAACCTTAAGGTCAGCGGTTCGAAACTACCAGGTGCTCCGCGGGAGAAAGATGAGGCTTTCTACTCCCGTAAAGATTTACACCCTCGGAAACCCTATACAGGGTCGCTATGGGTCGGAACCGACTCGATGGCACTTAACAACAACAACAACAACAGGAGCTCTTCAAAGTGGTTATACCAATTGACACTCCTCCCAGTAGCAGCTAAGTTCTCATAGCTCCACAGTCTTGCCTACAACTGTCCAGTTTTTAAAATTAGAAAGAGCCTTTTAAATCTTTGGGGGAGGGGTGTGTTAAGTTTTTATTATAATTGACTATACTTAGAAATCACTAGAGTAGTTGGCTAAATTAATATAACTGTATTTTTCTCTGCATCTTTAACTCTATTAGGTAATTGAATTCAGTGAATTGGACAAACCCAGAGTCCACTTTTTACGGAAAGTATTATACATCTTGTTAATGGAAACAGAAGTTGAAGACCTTGGTTTAATTTTTACAAGGTATGTTCCTAGCTCATAAGAAATACGGAAAAGAGATAACTAGAAATCAGTTTCATTTAGGTTGATTTAGAAAAGCAACGTTTTTGTATACTTTATGTATAGATTTATAAATCTTCATTTTCAGTTGTCAGTTTTAAGTGAAAGTTAATATGCATTAGATTTGAGAAACATAAAACTTACCAAATCCCAAACTAGCAACCATTTTTAACCAATAGAATGTATTAAGAATTTCTTCTTAGGGTATTTTCTTTTTAAAAGGCTATATCTGACTGTTCAAGATATATAGAATTCTAAGACATAAGATACTAATTTAGCACTGATAAAATGTTTATGCCATTCCTTTTCAGAGTATCCGACAACCCAAAGCTGGGGGTATTGCGGGAAGGTCTGAAACTTTTTATTAGCCACTTCTTACTAAAGAATGTAGAGGCCCACAAAAGCGCGGAGGAAGCCAACCTACTCAGAGAAAGAGCTGACCTGGCAATAAAGTCTCTTCAAGGAAAGCCTTCCCTCAGAATGTAGCTTGGGGAAGCAGTGGAATGTGGTGGTCTTTCTGCACCCAAAGGTCTTTTGACTTAGTAGAGCTATTGTACGGTCTGCTGTGGTTTAGAAGCATTAAATTTTATAATAACTCTTTTAATCCAAAATTATATTGTTTTTGTGTTTTACACAATTTTCAAACAACTATATGAGGGGGATTCAAAAAGTTCATGGAAAAGTGGAATTAAAAGATAATGGAAATTTTCCACAGATTTTTTTAAGTCCCTTCATACGCTCAGCTGCTCCTTGGAAACACAGTACAGAGTTGCTATGGGTCGGAACCAACTTGACGGTACTTAACAGTAACAACAACACTATGCATAGCGTCTCTAGGTGGTGTAAATGGTTAGGCAGGCAGCTGCTAAATGAGAAGTTGAAGGTTGAGTTTACCTAAATGTGCCTCAGAAGAAAAGCCTTTAATCTCTGCTGAAACCATCAGTCAGTGTTAATACTATGTAGCATTTTGCACTCTGACACACATGGGGCCTCCATAAACCAGAATCTACTTGACAGCAATTGGGGTGCGCGTGTAAGGAAGTGGGAGAGCAAATGAGAAGGCAGGGAGAGAAAAGAGGGGAGGGAGGAAGAGGACAGGCTAGACAGTATTCTCTAAGTAATACAACTGCTATGTGTGTCTGTATAATTTTTTAAAACAGATTACTAGAGACTGCAGTTATCAAAAAGAAATTGATACCTATTTCTTAACCTTTTTTACACTGGTTGAAATTTCCAAAACCATACAATTAAATGTGATGTTTGATATGTAACATTAATTATCTGGAATGCAGTAATTGACTTAAACTTAACTATACTATCTTTTGTACAATACAGTGATAGATTTTTGTCATTATTACTCTTCTAAAATATTTTACACAGTAAAGGATGTTGTTATTGTTAAGTGCCGTGAAATCGGTTCCGACTCATAGCGACCCTGTGCAGGGTTTCCAAGGCTGTGAATCTTTACAGGAGCAGAGACCCTCATCTTTCTCCTTACTAATTTTATATATCTGTTCTACTCATCAATCCTAGATTGTTAATATACTGTTATTAAACACCGATGTCATCAAATAGCTATTGGACGTACAGTGAGTGCAGCTTGCTGTGCTAAGATCAAGGAGGTGTCAGTAAAATAAAGCTTGATGACCACCTATGAGGAGACCTGGTGTGGCACTGTGGGTTAATGCGCTGGACTGCCACATCGGTTTGAACTGTAAAAGTCCGTGGTTCAAGTTCACCAGCCACTCCTTGGATCCTAGGAAACCCTATTCAGGGTCACTCTGATAGGTCGGAACCAACTCGATGCACTTAACAGTAGCAGTAACCGCCTATAAGATAGGCTTTATTTAGTGAGTAACATACATTACACCCCACTTACTAAATATTATTTATTCTATGAAGAATTGCAAAATTTCTTAGTATACCTAACATCTACCACACTTTCATTATCAATGTGTATTGTTTTTCTAGCCCATAGAATTTACTTCTCTGCCCTAAATGTTGCAAATTTAATTTAAATGTCACCTCCAATTTTTTTTTTTTTAAAGTCATTAAGATATAAGTGTAGAATAGTATTTTAGAAATCATGTGTCACAAACCTATATATATTCCCAAAAGAATATATAGTCCTCAAAGAATATGTCCTCTTGGAAATGGTCACCCTAGAAAACTGGGTACTTTACTAGTAGTGATGTTGCTCCTGTTCAAAATACCCTTTTTGTCACATACCTGCAAATAGGATCTGAACATGATTTTATGGAGCAGTTTGCTTTTAGAAGCCATAATGTGAATTAAGTATTTTCATGCATCTTCCTAAACTAATGGGTTCTTTTTTTTTTTAATTAACAATGAAATTCCATGTGTCTGCTAACTATTTGAAGCCCCTCATATAAATACAGATATTGTCTATTCCTCAACTGCTAAGATAACAGAAAGACTGTATCTGGGCTCTCGTGTTGCCCTTGTTAAATTTACCTTCGGGAACAACCTCTCTGGATCTAAGGTAAAATTAAAGCCCCGTGTTTTCTAGTGGGTTCTGAATTTAGACAACAAAGAAGGAAGCTGTCCCCACTAAGAGAGGAGTACAACAAAATCCTAGCCAATAGAATCTAAAACATATTAAGTAATTCATCTTGACTGAGTGGGATTCCTACCAGGTATGCAAGGATTGTTCTGTATTAAAAAAAAAATCAACATAATCCACCACATAAATAAAACTAAAAAGAAAAGAACCATAGATCATATCTATTGACACAAAAACGGTATTTGACAAAATCCAAAATCCATTCCTATTAAAAACACTCAATAGGAATAAAAGGGAAATTCCTCAACATAATTAAGACCATACATACAAAACTAACAGCCAGCATCACTGTCAACAGAGAGAAACTGAAAGCATTCCCCTTGTAAACAGGAACCAGACAGGGATGCCCTTTATCACCACTCCTATTCAGTATACTAGAAGTCTCAGCCAGAGCTTGAAGCAAGAAAGGGAAATTAACGGCATCCAAATTGGCAAAGAAGAAGTAAAACTCTATTGCAGATAAGATGATTCTATATAGAGAACATCTCAAAGACTCAGCAAGAAAATTATTGGAACTCATTGAAAGATTCAGCATAATGGCAGGGTACAAGATCAATAAATAAAAATAAGTTGGATTCTTTTACGTTAATAAAGAGCTCTGAAAAGGAAATCAGGAAAATGCCATTTACAATAGCCACTCAAAAGATGAAATACTTAAGAATAAATTTAACCAGAGACACAAAAGACCTATACAAAGAAAACTACAAAACACTACTACAAGAAACCAAGTTGTTATTGTTAAGTGCCTTCCATTCAGTTCCAACTCAGCAACCCTGTATAGGGTTTCCAAGGAGCAACTGGTGAGTGTGAGCCATCAGCCTTGTGGTTCAAACCTGTGTTGCGGTCCAGTGCTTGTCCTACAGAGCCACCACAGCAGGACTCCAAGAAACCAAGAGACCTACAAGAATGAAAGAATATACCATACTCGTGACTAAGACTTAACAGTGATAATGTCAACATTACCCTAAAGCATTCTAAAGATACAATGCAATCCCAATACAGATTTCAATTTAATTCTTTAGAGAGATGTAAAAACTAATTACTAACTTTATATGTAAAGGAAAGAGACCTCGGATAAGCAGAGCATTACTGAAAAAGAACAAAATAGGAGGCATCTCACAACCACAGTAATCAAAACAGCCTGGTACAGGTACAATGAAAGACATGTAGGTAAGTGCGACAGAATTGAACACCCAGAAATAGATTCATCCACCTATGTTCAGTTGATCTTTGACAAAGGTCCCAAATACATTAAATGGTTATATTTAGTTATGGTTCTGTATCAACTTGGCTGGGCCAGAATTCTCAGTGATTTAGCATTTGATGTGTGGTTAGCCATCTCCATGGTGAGATCTAATATATCAATCCCATGGAACAATCTGATGTAATCAATCCTAATTTGCTGTAATTATCCAAAGAGAAGTGAGCAGAGAAGGGGGAACCTACGACCACCAAAACAGAAGAGCTTGGAGTGCATCCTTTGGACCTGGGGTCTCTGTAATATGAAGCTCCTAGATCCAGAAGAAGATTGATGCCAAGACAGGGAACTCCAAGGAATCCTGGGCCTACAGATGCAGAAAGGTGACAAGGACCTTTCTCTAGAACCAGTGCTCCGAATGCGGACTTTTTGCCTCCTGACTGAGAGAACAGACTTCTGTTTGTTTGAGCCATCCACTGTGGCACTGTAGGTTAATGCGCCAGACTGCAAAGTCAGTGGTTCAAGCTCACCAGCTGATCCTCGGAAACCCTATACAGGGTCACTGTGCATCGGAACCTACTCAATGGCACGTCACAGCAGCAGATAACTAAGACAGTGGGGAAGAGTCTATTCAACAAATGATGCTTGCAAAACTGGAAATCCATTTGCAGTATGAAACAAGACTCACATCTCCACATACAAAAATGAACTCAATGTGGATTAAAAACCTTAATGTAAACCTGTTGTTAAGTGCCATCAAATTGATTCCACCCATAGTGACCCTGTAAAGGATTTCCAAGGAGCAGCTGGTTAGCTTGAACCACCAACCTTGCAGTTCAAATGACTTTGCAGTCTGATGCATTAGCCCACAGCACCACACCCAAGGCTCCAATGTAAACCTAGAACTATAAACATCACCAGTGATAAAATAAGGAGAAATTTAAGTGCATAAATAAATTACCAAGTGTAACAAAACACAACAGATGACAAAATAGATAGCTGGGGGTTTACTAAAAATTAAGACACTTACGTGCTTCTAAAAATTTCACCAAAAGAGAAAGAAAAAAGAATCCACAGACTGGGAAAAGAAATTTTGGCAATGACTTATCAGACAAGAGCTACTCTTAACATTTATACAGCACTTCAACACCTCAACAAGACAAAGAATCCAATTTAAAAATGGGCAGAGAACATGAACAGACACTTCACCAAAGACATTTAGATGGCCAGCCATCTGCATCACAATCAGCCACTAGAGAGGTGTAAATTAGAACAACAATGATAATATCCTCTTGTTAAATACTGTCCTCATTTCTTACTCATAAGGAGCTCTGGTAGCATAGTGGTTACGAATCAGGCTGCTAACCTGAAGGTCGGCAGTTCGAAACTACCAGCTGTTCCGCAGGAGAAAGATGAGACGTTCTGCCCCCGTAAAGATTTACAGCCTCGGAAACCCGGTGCAGGGTCGCTATGAGTCGGAACCAACTCCATGGTACTTAACAACAACAACAACAACATTTCTGACTCATAGCCACCCACCCAGTATAGGGTTTCCAAGGAGCCGCTGACCTTGCAGTTTCAAACCGATCTTGCAGACGACTGCTCACCCCAGCATTTAATACCAAAGTTTAAAGAAAACAAAATAACAAATGCTGGAAAGGGTGTGTGTGGACAGTCTGGAATCCTATGCTGCTGGTGGGACTT